TTTTTCTATGCAAAAATGTGTCATGACTTACCCGGTGACCCAGTGAAAGCCATTCCTAGTCTGGTGCCATCCAGCCTTTCTTGGCTAACTTTCTGTAGCTCTGCTGCATCTCCTCCCCACCAATCTAATTAGGCTACTTAGGCTCTTTACTTTTGTTTGCGATTATTTCCCGAATGCACTCCACTTTCTTTCCTTTCCACTTTGGGGGGATGGTCATGCCACAGTCCGTCCAATCTCCTCTTGGGATTTTGGGCACATATGTACATGCGCCCAGCGTGATTTTCAAGCTGCCAGGTCTGGGGGTTGAGCTGTGGTAGGCCATGGGGGAGTGCAGCTCCTTAACCACCATGCCACCTGCCAACCCTAGAATCTATTTTTTAATACCTACTTCAGTTCTGATGCAGGTTGTCCAAGGACTATGCTTTGAGAAACTAAGGACCTTTTACTCATAGATTTCTTTAGAACAAATGCCATCATTTATTTTCTTGGGTATTTTCAGGGTCTGTCATGAACATGAAGCTAAATAATTGTTTCTAAAATGAACAGAATTTACTGGGGAAGACCTTGTGGCATATACTTTTTGAGTTCAGACTTAAGTTGTTGACATGACCTTAACAGTAATATTAAAAATAGCGTAAGACATGTCTCAGTTTATTTCCAGAATAGGAAATGCTCTGTGGAGAAAGGGTTTGTTTTGGTCGTCAGATCGCTTTGGAAAGTGCTGCCCAGTGGATCTGCACACTGCACTTTTCTCGAGGTACACGTGTGCATTCAGTCTTCCGAGGTGCTCTGCAGGGAAGGTGCCCTCTTAGTGTCAGTATTTGAAACGTTTTTGTTTTTTTTTTGAGAGGTTTTGCCATAGGGCGCGTGCGCTTGCCAGACAGACAGTGAGAGACAGAGAGACAGAAAGCAAGAAATCTCCCCTCGGGGGGATGATCACGCCACATTCCCTTCTCCTCCATTCTTCTCTCAGAATCTCTGGCATGCACGCACACGCGCCCGGCATGAGTTCTAAGCCACCGGGTCCGGGACGTGAACCGCGGTCGACTATATGGAAGTCCAGCGACATAGCCATTACACTAACTGCTGGTCCCGAAACGTTTTGGCCAAGCGTTCACCCTGCCTTCATTTCCTAGATAATAGTATTTTTTTGTTTTTTTAAAGAATAATTTATTTACGGTGCCAGCAGGTGGCATGGTAGTTAGGGCGCTGGACTCCCACATGGGCGATGATGGTGCGAGTCCTGGATCTGGTGGCTTGCTTTCGCACCTTCCTTCTCTCTCTCTTTGTCGCTCTCTGCTCAGATAAAAACAATATTAATGAATAAAATTAAATAAGTAAATTCTTTAAAAAGAAAGACTTGTTTAATTTTATTTATCATTTTTAACTAGAGAGAGAGTGTGAGAGAGAAAGGGAAAGTAAGAAAGTGAGGCGAGGTGCTGGCAGGTGGTGAGGTGGTTAAGGTGGTGGACTCCCACTTGGCTGACCATGGTTCTAGTCTCAGGCCTGTTGGCTACCTTTCTCACTTTCCCTTTCTCTCTCTCGCTCTCTTTCTCTGTCACATGTAAAACTAATTATAGTAAATAAAACAATTATTTAAAAAATAAAAATCTTGGGGACCAGCAGTTAGCGTAATGGCTATGTCACTGGACTCCCACGTAGTCGACTGCGGTTCGAGTCCCAGACCCGGTGGCTTAAACTCAGGCTGGGCGCATGTGCGTGCGTGCCCAAGATCCCGAGAGGAGAATGGAGGAGAAGGGATTGTGGCGTGGCCAGACCCCTGGGGGGGGTGATTTCTCGCTTTCTGTCTCTATGTCTCTCTCTGTCTGTCTGGCGAGCACAAGCGCCCTATAGCAAAAATCTCTCCAAAAAAAAGAACAAGAAAAAAAAAATCTTTCAGTATTAAAAAAAAAAAAAGAGAGACTTGAACAGTTGTCACCATGTGGGAATCCAGTGCCTTAACTACCATGCCACCTGCTGGCCCCAATAAATAGCTTTTTGTGTCCTGCAGGACAGTGTTCTGAGGTATTCCTTTTGGGAGCTGTTTACAAAAGTAGTAACAGCAGTGGGAATTAGCAGTTTATGCCTATCAATGAGCTCTAGAATTGGAGAGGCCATGCTGGGAAGTAGCAAGAAGAGAGGCCGATCAGAGCCTGGTCGGGGGGAAGGGTCCCACATGTCCTACCATGTGGTTAGAGTTCCAGCCCCAGTGGCTTAAAAACATGCCAGGTGCTTGTGCATCCGTGCCCATTATCCTGACTGGATGGGAGAGTGGAGAAGGGGTTGCCTAGCGACCATGTCCCATTGGGAGGTGCTTTCTCCCTCTCCCTCTTTCTCTGCTGAGCACCTGTGCCTTCTGGTAATTAAAGAAAGCCACCAGGTTTCTTTCTTTCTTTAATTAAAGAAATTTAATTCCTTCCTTTCTTTAGCTACCTAGCTAGCTAGCTAGCTAGCTACCTACCAGAGAGGGACAGAGTGCAAGAAAGAAAGAAAGAAAGCCGCCAGATCTGGTACTCAAACCGTGGCTGGCCATGTGAGAGCTCATTGCCTTTAACCACCATGCCACCTGCTGGCCCCTATGTTTTCTTTCAATAGAATAGAATTTATTGTAAAATTGTTTTCCTTAGGAGTCCATGTAGAAATCATTAGCTTAAATTGAGTTTATAGGTAAATTTATAGTAAATCAAAAGTTTTTACTGAAAATATTGGATTCTTCTCTTTTTTTTTTTTTCTTTTTTTTTGGGGGGGGGAGAAGTTTTTCCTATAAGGCATGTACACTTGCCAGAAAGAGACAGAGACAGAAAGCAAGAAATCACCCCCCAGGGGGAACGGCCACATCGTAATCCCTTCTCCTCCATTTTCCTCTCAGGGTCTTGGGCATGTATGCACACACGTCCAGCGTGAGTTTAAGCCACCAGATTCAGGACTCAAACTGCGATGGACTATATGGGAGTCCAGTGACATAGCCATTATGCCAACGGCTGGGCCCCCGGATTCTCTTCTTTAAATAATGGGAGCTACAGGAGAAGAGGTTAACTCTTAATGATTTAGTCTGGGGACCAGCCATATGGTGGTTAAAACATTGGATTTCCTGGGGGCCAGCAGGTGGCATGGTGGCTAAGGGTGCTGGACTCCCACGTGGCCGAGTGCTGTTTGGGTCCCAGACCTGGTGGCTTGCTTTTTCACTTTCCCTCTCTTACTCTCTCCCCCTCTGGTCAAATTAACAAAATGAATAAATAAAGTTAAATAAAATAATTCTTTAAAAAAAGTGTTGAACTCCCACATGACTGACTGCTGTTCAAATCCCAGACCCAGAGGCTTGAAACTCACACTGGTCCCAAGTGCATGCATGCCGGAAGTCCCGAGGGGAAAATGGAGCAGATGGGATTGCGGCATGGCCATCTCCCCTGGGGGATGTTTTCTCACTTTCTGTCTCTCAGTCTCTATCTCTCAGGCAAGCATATGCATCCTATAGCAAAAATCTTTCCCTCACGCAAACAAAAAATGATTCAGCTTGTTTGGGTGACTTGTTTATCAGAATCTCCTTAATGCTAGCTAAGCAAGACACATTTTTATATTATACATTTAATTTAGGCAGTGGGAAAATTCTTTCACACTGCACCATAAGATAATGGGTATATAAGGCCTGGAGAGTCATAGACTATTTAAACTTTTCATGTCAAGTAGAAAATACAGTTTTCATTCATTCATACTAAACAGAAGGTTTAAAAGAATTACTAGGGCCAGCATGTGGTATGGTGGCTAAGGCATTGGGATCCCACATGGCCATCTATAGTTTGAGTTCTGAACCTGGTGGCTTACTTTCTCCGTTTCCCTCTTTCTGTCTCTGGTGGGTGCGCATGTCCTGTAGCAAATTTTTAAAATAATGATAAATGGAATTAAATAATTCTTTTAAAAAAGAATTATCAAGGAGACTTTATTATAAGATTTTAAAAGTTTTAAATAAACTAATTCCTTTTATTATTTAGAAAGATGTTTGCTGTAGGACATGTGCGCTCGCTGGAGGAAAAGAGACAGAGAGATAGCAAGAAATCACCTGCTGGGGGAGTGGCCACGCCCCAATCCCTTCTCTGTTCTCCTCCAGGATTTTGGGCATGCACACACATGTACCCAGTGTGAATTTTAAGCCACCAGGTCTAGGACTTGAATCACAGTAGACTATGTGGGTGTCCAAAGATGTAACCATTGTCATCTGCTCATCCCACTGATTCCTTCTGTTTTATTTATTTATTCTTCTCAGGTTTTTGCCATAAGGCTTATGTACTCACTGGAGAGAGAGAGAGAGAGGGAGGGAGGAGGAAGGAAGAAATCACTCCCCAGGGGTGATGGCTATGTCACAACCCCTTATCTTCCAGTCTTCTCTTAGGATTTTGGGCACACAAACACACATACCCAGTGTAATCTTCTTTCTTTTTTTTTTTTTTTAAAAGGAATTTTTGCTATAGGGCACATGCATTTGCCAAAGAAGCAGAGAGACAAAAAATGAGAAATCACCCCTCCCCCCAAGGGGGGTGACCATGCCACAGTCCCTTCTCCTCCATTCTCCTATTGGGATTTTGGGCAGGCATATACAACAGGCTCAGCCTGAGTTTCAGGCCACCATGCCAGAGACTTGAACCACCGTCAACCATGTGGGAGTCAGTCCAGTGCCTTAACCACCATGCCACCTATTGACCCCACCCAACGTGATATTCAGGGCACCAGGTCCAGAACTTGAACTATGGTCAGCCATTGGGAGTTCAGCATCTTAACCTATCATACCACCTGCTGGCCCCTGAGCTAATTCCTAAGAGACATTTTCATACCCAGTGAGTACAGAAGGTATCTTACATTTGGAGTTAGGACTCTGCTATCGAACCTGTGCTGCAAAGTATATTAGTACAGTTGGATGTCAGAAACAAGTATCAGAAAGCTAAACATAGCATTGCCAAGTGCTTCAGAAGGGCCCTAATTCTTCTCCCTTCTTACTGTCTTTTCAGACAAATGACCATGGAAACAGTGGAATCCCAGCAACATGGAAGTGTAACAGATTCTGTGACACAGAGTGAATCTGCCCGTGTGCAGACTCAGACTGGTCCAAATGCAATTCCTACTTTAGCTCAGGTAGGCAACAGGCAGGCCCCGGTGAAAGGTAAAGTCTGTGGAAGTGAGATTTCCTTAGAGTCTGTTTTCTTGCAGTTGATTTAAATTTTCCGTATTCTGTGGTTATCAGCCATTCTTATTGATTTAATGTTGAAGAGGAAATAACATATTTGATTTACTTTTGCATTGTAGCAATGACTTTCAGTGCCCCCCTTCTACCATTTCACGAAGGAAAAGCCCCTGTGGTGTGTTTTCAGTTCGAATATTCCTCACTGCAAAAATGATAGACATCTTACCATTTGCCCAGTGTATATTTGGCTTGATCTTTGTAATTTGTTTAGTTACTAAACTTTAAACTGGTTTCATTCATAAATGAGTATCTGTTAGTGCCTGTTTTTCAGCTCCTGAAATTTATTTATTTATTTTTAGATTTTTGCTATAGTGTATGTGCACTCACTGGAGAGATGAGAGACAGAAAGCAAGAGACCACCCCCTGGGTGGATGGCCACACCACAGTCCCTTCTCTTCCTTTCTTCTCTTGGGAATTTGGACACACACAGACACAGAGACACACACAGGCATACACACACACACAGGCAGTATGTGGGAGTCCAGCAACATAACCATTAGCCATCTGTGGTCCCTGAAATTTATTTTTGAGCTACTCATAAGCAATGGCACAGCCACGGTGGCGCACTATAGTAAAACGCGGCTACTCTGAAGGCTGAGGCTACCCAAGAGGCCCAGGTTTGAACCCTGGGCTTTCCTTCAAGCCAGGCGTGGTGGCACACACCTACGACTTCACTGTGCAGAAGACTAGGGCAGGGCACTCACAGCAGAGCAAGACTGCGTCCACAGAAGAAAGCAGAGGAGAAATGTTCACCTGTTGAAATATCCATTTTGTAAGACAAATAATAATGTGATTGAATGTATGGAAAACAATGAAATGAAAATAAATAAAATCATATTCTAGACATAATAAAGATTATAGCTGAAATAAATGAAATAGAGAATAAAATAACTATACAAAAAAAAAGAGAGCAGAAGTAGTGAAAGCAGGCACATTCTTTATTAATTAGTTCCTCCAATATTGAGCACGTGCTATGTCAAGGCACTATTCTAGGTGCATGGGGATATACAGTTCTTGGCCTCAGATGTCTCATGGCTTAGTGGAGTAGACAGGTATTTTAACAGTGATCTCTTTGGAGTGGGGGAGTAGACGATGTTGATTAATGGGAGTGAAACTGCACATAAGCAGGAGGAGCACTGGCTGGTCATACAGTGTGGGGAAGTACACGTACAATAACTTGCTGTGTACCTCACAGTCACTAAAAGGGGGGATTTTGATTGTTCCCAACTCAAGTAGTGACAGATGACTAAGATGACGGGTGTGCTGGTTATCCTGAGTGAATCATTACTCATTTCTTACTGCGAAGTCACCTTGTAACCCCACAAATGTGTACAGTTGTTTTTATATTAATAAAAAAGAAAACGAAACACTCCACTCATCCCAGCATTGTAAGAAGTGTTGTCATATGTACAGAACAGATACAGTGGACATAGGAGGGAGGACCTGCGACCAGGAGTGCTGTAGAGGACTTCTCGCTGGAGCGGGACTGGGGGGTGGGAAGGAGTGTCGGGTGGATGCGGGTATGGAAGCATATCTTAAGCACAGAGAAGAGTGGAAGAGTGTGTGCAGAGGAACAAAGTCAAAGTATGAGCTATTCAGGGAACTGCAGGCGTGGAGTAGAAACAGCGCCTTGCGTTTGGACTGGGAGGTAATGCTGGGTAGGTGAGTAGAGGGAGAGTTAGTGTATCTTGTACTCTCGGTATTCTTGAAGTGCTTCCAGATGCTCACTGTGTTGAGGGTGCGAGTAGCCATGGTAGGTGGGGCTGGACGTCAGTGGCCAGCGTGGGGACCCCACTAGGCTGTCTGGTGGAGTCAGGGCAGGGGAGTTAGAGCAGTGGTGAGATCTTCGGTGTAGAGGGAGAGTGAACTGGACCTGGTGGCTGAGTAGAAAGCCTGGGGGAACACCAGACACTTCTCGAGTGGTCTCTGACCAGGCTGGTTTCTATGAGGTCTCTTCTTTCCTAGGACCAGGCTGCATGCGTTTTGTTTTACCCTTTCGGGCTTCCGACATCCACATATTCCCTGGAGGTTCTCTGCAAGTATTCTCAGAGCTGTATCTCCCTGGCAACACCCTTCTGTGTAAGGGAGAAGACAGGCGTGTAGGCTGCTTGCTTTGAAAAGTAAAAGCTCAACTTCCTTGTTAAAATGCATCTTCATTGTAGAAAAGTAAATGTTGTTAAAAAGAAGAATATAAGAACTACCCGTAATCTTGACACCCAGAGAGTAATCCTCGTTAACATTTTGGCGTGTGTCCTTTGGTCTTGTCTGTGTGAGTAAAGTATCGTTTTTTCATGAATTTGGGATTTTGTAAAATTTTTATGACTGCTGCTCTATAATTCTTTCTTTGTTGAAGTTGTAATTGAAAGCAATTTTTTTCCCCTTCCCTTAGATACTGGCTCATTAACTTTATTATTTTTTTTCTAAAATAAAAATTTGTTGTGCCTGTGCTCATCGGAGAGAGTTGGAGGCCGGGCTTGGGGGTAGGGAAGTGAGAAAGCACCTGTCCAGCGGGTGGCCACACCACGGTCCCTCCTCCTCCATCTTTCTCTTGGTATTTTAGGCATACATAGACACACTAAGGGTGCACTTTCAAACCGCCAGGTCCAGGTCCAGGTCCAGGCCTGTGCATTCAGCCATGTGGGGTCCTCTGCATTCACCCCATGCCACCTGCTGGCCCAGAAGTGGAATCTACTTCTATATTTATTTGAAAATAAAATCACAGTGCTGATGTCAAAAAGTTAGATGTGGGAGTTGCCGTTGACAGACCCTGGGGCAGCAAATGACCAGGTGCTAGATACCGTGACTAGGCTTTCTTCTCGCCTGAACTATTTTTTATTTTGATTTATTTTTAGTTGATGTTGATATATTGTTTGTTTGTGTATGTTGATATATAAGGATTGATTCTAACTGACACTGGAAAAACTCTTGTCAATAACTCGGAGATTCGAGGGGCCGGCAGGTGGCATGGTGGTTAAAGGTGCTGAACTCCCACCTGGCCAACCGCAGTTTCTGTCTCAGACCTGGCGTCTTGCTTTCTTACTTTCCCTTCTCCCACCCCCATCTCTCTGTCTCTCTCTGGTGAGCACATGTGCCCTACAGCAAATTAAAAAAAAAAAAATTAAGTCAAAAAATTGGAGACTGAGAGGCCGACAGGTGGCATGGTGGTTGAGGTGCTGGACACCCACATGACCAACTGCGGTTTGTGTTCTGGACCTGGTGGCTTGCTTTCTTATGTTCTCTCTCTCTCTCTTTCTCTCTCTCTTTCTCCCTGTCTCTGGTGAGCACCTGTGCCCTATAGCAAATTGAATAAAATTTTGAAAGTCTAAGGACTGGCAAGTGGTGTGGTGGTTGAGGAGCCGGGCATGACTGAGTGTGATTCAATTCCCAGACCTGGTGGCTGGCTTTCTCACTTTCGCTCACTCTCTCTGGTCAAATTAAAAAATAATAATAAATAAATAAACAGTAATTATTTAAAAATAAGTAAATAAATTGGAGGCTATTTTAAATAACCAAGCCAGGGGCCAGCTAGATCCAGCACGGCCAACTGCTTGGTTTGAGTCCTGGGCCTGGTGGCTTGAAAAACATGCTGGGTACTGTGTGTACATGCCCAGAATCTCCACAGGACAATTGGAGGAGAAGAGATTGTAGCATGACCATTCCCCATGGGGAGTATTTTCTCACTTTCTCTCTCTCTTTCTCTCTGGTGTGTGCTGCACCCTTTGGCAAAGTTTTTATATATTTTTTTAAGAATTATTTATTTAATTTTATTTTTTATTATTCAGTTTGACCAGAGAGAGACAAAGAGGGAGTGAGAAAGCAAGCTGCCTGGTCTGGGACTCGAACAGCAGTTGGCCATATGGGAGTCCAGCACCTTAATACCATGCCCCCTGCTGGCCCCCTCGTGATTTTTTTTTTAAGACCCAGTAGGAAATTCTTTCCAAAAACTGAAATAGTGAAAAAAAATTATATACACTCACATATACACACACAGAGACATATATGTAGTTTTAAAATACCGTTGTTAGCACTTACATCTGTGGAAATTATATCATCTTTAAATGGACAGTGGAAGGACAACCCTATTTTTGTTATGACAGATTTCAAACATAGGAGTGGGACCAGCAGATGGCATAATGGTTACGGGTGAGACCTACTAGGCCCAAAAGCTGGGAAGGGGAAAGAACAATCACACAGACATAGACATGCAAGTAGAGAGAAGCAGGGACCAGGTCAACATCATTTCCTTTGACTTCTGAGAGTCTGATCTGCTTGTCTTTAAAGAGCTCTTCCTAAGCTCAGATGTGGCTGCTCCTTGTTACGTTGCTGGACTCCCACGTGATGGACCGCAGTTCAAGTCCCAGACCTGGTGGCTTAAAACTCATGCTGGGTGCGTGCATGAGTGTGTGTGTGTATGTGTGTGCGTGCGCGCGTGAGTGCGTGCCAAAGATCTTGAGAGGAGATTGGAAGAGAAGGGATTGCTGCGTGGCCATCCCTACTTTCGGCCTCTCTGTCTCTCCGACGAGTGCACGTGACTTACAGAAAAAAATCCCTCTTAAAATAAAGGGCCAGAAGGTTGCATGGTGGTTAAGGTCTCCGGACTCCCACATAGCCAGCCACAGTTTAAGCCCCAGATGTGGTGGCTTGTTCTCTCTCTCTCTCTCCCTCTGTCCTTCTCTGGGCAAATTTAAATAAATACATAAATAAATAATCATTCTTTTAAAAATATATAGGTGTAACATGATTCTATGTATACATATGAATTTAATAATTAGCAATATTTTATAGCACTTGTCTTATGTATCTTTTTTCTTCTTTTTTTTGAAGTCTTTTAAGCAGTCCCACAGATGTCAGACATTGTGTCATTTTATTCCAACCTCTGGGTACATAACTG